TTTCCATTTATTTAGATCTTTAATTTTTTTTCTTAGCAATGTTTTGACGTTATCAGCATATAATATTTGTGTTCCAGCCCTAGCTAGTTTGGCTCAGTGGATAGAGCATCAGCCCACGGACCGACTGGTCCTGGGTTCAATTCCGAGTAAGGGCACATATCTTGGTTGCAGGCTCATATCCTCAGCCCTGGTTGGGGTGCATGCCCTGCCCTGTTTGTGGTACGTGTGGAAGGCAACCATTCCATGTGTTTCTCTCACATTAATGTTTCTCTGTCTCTCCCCCTCCCTTTCACTCTCTCTAAAAATGAATGGAAAACTATACTTGGACAAGGATTAACAACAACAATAAAGATTTGTGTTCCATTTGTTAAATTTATTCCTAAAAATTTTATTCTTTTTTCCTACCTTTATTTTTTAATTAGAAAATCAACTTTTAAATTTCTAAATTTCCCAGCCAATTGTTTTACAGAAAGAATATTATCTCATAAGCTATAGGGGTATTAAATATACTTATTCTAAAAGTCTTACTTTGGCCCTATATTTTTCTATTTCCTCTGATGTTACCAAAAATGATAAAACAAGGAACTGAAGGGACTGGGGTGAAATCCTGACACTCTGAACTAAGCCAATGTTAACAGTCTGGGTGTAACATTGCATTGCTTTCCCAACATTTGCTCCACACTTCACACACAAATAAAAGACTTTTATTACTTTGATTTGTATAAAAATGGAATCATAACATATTAATATGAAATTTATGTTTTCATTCATCAATAAAACTATGCCTTTCCATTCAAATACTAGAAGTAAATAATTATGTATCCAACAATATGAATTTACCATAATTTACTCAACCATTTAGCTGAATGAACCATCAAACTGTTTTCAGGTGTGGTGGATCAGTATTATGTTGTTATGGTTATATTTTGCTTCAACAAAAACTTTTGTACTTATGGGCATCTAACCAATAAATATTGATTATCAACTTATGTGTATCAAGTACCCCCCTAAAAAAATCAAAGGACAAAACAGACACGATCCCTATGCTTATAGCATATATATTTTTGAAAGAAGACAGACAATGAATATGACAATAAAAACTAAATAAAATATGTAAATAATTGACTTAATATATTAAGGAGTAGTAAGGACATGGCAAAAATAGAGCTAGGTTACAGGATTGGAAGCATAGGAGTAGGTTGGAATTTAATATTGTTAAAATGCCAGTTCTCATCAAATTTCTCTATGGTTTCAAAATGCAAAAGGCTATAAAAATCCAAAAAGTTTTTCTTATAAAATTTGACAAATTGATTTTAAAAGATATTGTGCTAGATGGGTACTGGAACTATCTGGGGGAATGCTTTGTGAAGTATATGATTGCCTAATCACTATGATGTACACCTGAAACCAATACAAACAATATTTTTCAAGAGGACAGTGCCCTCAATAAACACTTGTTAGATTTTTTTAAAAAAGGAATAAAAAATAAATAAAAGATATGTGGAAAGCCAAAAGACTTAGAAAACCAAAATAATCTTTCCCTAATTAACATCAAGACCTTCCATAACCTGTAGTAGTTAAGTCAATATGCTATTGGCATAAGGATAGACAAATAGATCAGTAGCACAGAAGAGAAAAATCCAGAAATATACCCATGCTTATATGTAAATGGCTCTTTGAATATTTTCATTAACTTAGGGTAGACAAAGATTTCTTATTACACTAAAGTTATTAACCACACAAAAAATAGATTTGGCTTCATCAAAAAAATTTCTCCTCATCAAAAGACATAGTTATGAAAATGAAGGGCAAACTGGCAGAAAATATTTCCAATACATAAATCAAACATGGTGCCTCCGGGAACATGGTGGGTGTGGTGCGAGGTCAGGGGTCCCCTCGCACTTCCATCTGAGGAAATGGCGGGCCCTGGGCAAGTTGGTGTAAACCCAGTGCGGGAAGGGAGCCTGGGGGTGGGTTCTCAGATCTTTTCAGATCCGGATTTGGAGCCCAGGACTCTGCCCATCTTCTGGGCCTTGGGCGCATGGGCTCCCAGGAGCCGTGCAGCCCTGAACGCCATCTGCTTTGCATCCTTAAGCTTTGGACTCTAGCGCCCCCTCTCACCCCACATATTTTTCCATCCTTTGGTAACAGCCGCCAGAGTGCAGCCATAAGATTTTATGACTTTCAAGTGCACCCCTGACTCATCTCTGCACTGTCCCCTAGAGGCCCCCCAATGAAGCTGACAGAGCTAACTCCTTTCTGCAGAAGTTGGGCGGGGGGTGCGGGAGGGGGTGGGGAAAGGCATGTGATAGGGCTTCCCCTCCTACTTAATTTCTGGCCCCAGCTCTTTGTTAGTTCATTGCTCTACTTCCAAGCCCAAGAGATGGGGATGGATAACTCCTCAGGTTATTGTTACCTAATAACTCACAGATCATAGGCACTTTTGTACCTGTTTTCCCTTCTTCACCCCTCCTCATAACCCTTCTTCATACCAAATTGTACAGTTTTGCCTGTGTGCAGTTATGAAGGTTTTAACAGGAAATTCCTCCCATATTTTGTCAGCTGAACCTCTAGGGACAAATATCCTTGGTGCTTTATTTCATCAACTAGAGGCCCGGTGCACAAAATTTGCAAACAGGGGATGGGTCCCCTCAGCCCAGCCTGCACCCTCTCCAATCCAGGACCCCTTGGGGATGTCTGACTGCTGGTTTAGGCCTGATCCCGGTGATCAGGCCTAAACTGGCAGTCGGACATCCCTCTCACAATCCTGGACCACTGGCTCCTAATCACTCACCTGCCTGCCTGCCTGGTCACCCCTAACTGCCCTCCCCCCTGGCTGGCCTGATTGCCCCTCACTGCTTCTGCGTGCCAGCCTGATAGCCCCTAACTGCCCCCCTACAGGCCTGGTCACCCCTAACTGGCCCCCCCCTGCTGGCCTGGTCGCCTCCAACTGCCTTCCCGTGCCAGCCTGGTCACCTCTCACGGCCCCCGCCGGCTTGGTCACCCCATGCAGCCTGCTATTCAGTAGTTTGGTCATCCCTCACTAACCCCCCTGCAGGCCTGGTTGCCCCACGCAGCCTGCTGTTCAGTCATTTGGTCATCCCTCACTAACCCCCACCCTTGCCGGCCTGGCCGTAGGCAGCCATCTTGTGAGGATGTGAGGATTAATTTGCATATTACCTCTTTATTATATAGGATTATTTATGGGCCACCCACATGCCAAGCCCTGCATTTTGTTCTGTAGGCCCAGATGAACCAAATAGACTTCCCATTAACTTGAGACTAGTGGGAAAAATTAGGATTTGTGAAAAGGGATGGAAGGGTATAGTGCCATAGGAAAGGAACAGAGGAAGTGCTCTTGAAATTGGTGGTGGGGGAAGAATTAAGTCTTTAGAAAGGATATAAGCTGGAACCAGAGTTGGCATTTGCAAATAAAATTGATGGGAGAAGGCAGCTTGACAGCTCACTGGGCCCATTGAGTGAACATGATTAACTTTGTGTGTATGTGTGTGTGGTGGTGGGCGGGGGTGAAGGTCGGAGGTAGGGGTTGTGCAGTTTAATTGCTAAAAGCATATTTGCCCTAAGACTTCAGGCATATAACCTCTTAAAACAAAAAAAAACTAAAAGAAAGAAAACTACTTATTTCTGCCATATATTACAAACTCCTACACATCAATAAGGAGTAAAAGACAACACAATAATCTAAATAGGACAAAGACTTGAACGGGCACTTTACATGAAGATACATAATACATAAAGATACATGAATTGCCAATAAGCATATGAAAATGTGATCATTATAATTAGTCATTAAAGAAATACAAATTAAAGCTATTTGAGATAGCACATCACACATTAGAATGACTAAAATTGGAAAGGGTATATCTTATAGACTTTGAAAAACAGTTTGGTAGATACTGTAATGGTTAAACATATTGCTACACAATGACCTAACATTCCAATTTTAGCTGTTTCTCCAAGAGGAATGAAAAGCAGAGCAGCTTTATTTACACTAGTCCCAAACTGGAATCAATCCAAATGTTCATCAATAGGAAAATAAATAAGCAGATTGTGGTAAAAAACATCTAATGGAGTATTCTCTACACTAAAAAGGAACAAACTTCTAATTACCCAAAAACATAGATAATAAATAAAAGCAGTTAGACACATAAGCACACACAATGTATTATTCCATGTACAAATCCAGAAACAGGCAACATTAACATACAGTGGTAAAAGGACAGCAATGTTTGCCTCTGAGAAGCTGCCTGGCTCCAGCGGTCAGCTTGTGGGTTGTGGAGTTGTTCTGCTCTTCATTTTTCAAATGACATGCTGGTATTAAGCACCATGTCTCCCATTCCAATTTTCACTGCCTTTAGGATTCCACAGGGCATGCTGTTGCTTTCCTGGCCGCTAGGAGTATCCTCCACTTACATTCCTTCATTATCATTTTAGTAGGGTTTTCAATAAAAGAGAAGACAAATGCTTCTCTTCATCTCCCATCCTTAACCAGAAACATTTTCTTGCAGGAATTTGGAACAATAATGTGACATTATTATTACCTGATGTGTATATGCCTACTGGGTACTTTTCTGGTTTGACAAAAATATGTTATGAGTCTTCATAACATTTAGAAATACAAGATGTTGGTTAAAACATTGTTATCATAGTAATAAAATGATCAACTAAGAACCAGAATTACAGACTCAGGTTTACAATTAATTTCACTGGAAACAACAGCAATTTCTGAAGTTTAGATGCATAAAAAAAATTCACCGTATATAACAAAGCCGAGGTAGATTTATAACAACACAAAGCAGAAGTCCCAGAAGAAATGGTGATATTCTTGTGAAATACTAAATTTATTCTATATCATTATCAAACCACAACTTTTTAGTTATGAACTAGTTTTATAACGCAGGGTGATATTTCTCTTAACCGCCTCCACAAGCATCTCAGAATCTTGATAACCATTTTCACATGGTATCCCTTCTCCCTAGGATGTCCACAGAAGACCAGGGCATAGACGACAGTTTTATCTACGATATTATATTCAAGCACTTCAAAAGAAATAAGGTGGAGATTTCAAGAGCAATAAAAAAGGAATTTCCTTTCCTTCAGATTCTTCGTGACCGTGAACTCATCACCAATAAAATGTATGAAGTAAGTGAGGTTTATTATATTACAATCACTTAGTAGTCATAAAAATATATAACAATTCTAAATTTTACATGAAAAAATACCTATGCGGGAAATTGTAACACATTTACAACGAAATCAATTTCTAGCTATGGCCTGACTGGTTCAATGGTTAGAGCATTTCCCTGAGCTCTGTAGGGTCGCAGGTTTGATTCCTGGTCAAGGGCCCATACCTGGGTTGCAGGTTCCCAGCCCCAGTCAGGACTCCTGCGGGAGGCAACCAGTCGATGTATCTCTCTCTCATCAATGATTTTTTTCTTTCTCCCTCTCCCACTCCCTCCCTCCCTTCCACTCTCCCTAAAAAGCAATGGAAAAAAATATCCTCTGGTGAGGATTAGCAACAACAAAAATCACTTTCTAGGGCTCTTCTGTAACTTGGAAGTCCCTATTTATATTTTCTCCATGTATTATTTTTAGGATTGTCAAGAATCTTGTAGAAACCTGGTCCCTGTACAGAGAGTGGTGTACAATGTGCTCGAAGAACTGGAGAAGACATTTGACCTATCACTCCTGGAAGCATTATTCAGTGAGGACAACAAACAGGAATACCCTGCCTTAAATAACATTTATAAAGGATTTGAAAATGGTAATTAGTTTATTATCTACCTCTTGCTGTACAGGAATAACTTTTTTTGACAAGTATATATTTAGCTCCTGCTATGTACCACTCACAGTGCTGGGCAGTAGGGATATAGCAGTTAAGAAAACAGACATATCATGAGCCTCTCAAAGTTTTTGATAAAATGGCTACAATATAAACACCCACCTGCAGGTCTGCTTAACTAGGCATTTAGGGTCACAGGACAACCAAAGCCATGGTGGCATGAGACCTACTTAGAAAGACAAATGACAAGAAACTCAGCAACCCAACAGGGCAGCATCAGTTGCTGCTCTTCTGTGGAACCCCTTGCAGCTGTCCACACAGCAGTCCACCAAGGTGACTACCACCCACCACTAGTGACAGCTTAGTTGGGGACCCACTGTGATTTGGCCATCCCATGCTCATGGGAGTCAACGTCTCATGTAACAACTCTGTAGTTGTAACTTTCAGGGACCCCACAAAGAAGAGCTGAGTTATAAGAGTCACTACATTGAAGAAAGATCATACATGGCTTATAGTTCACATATAGTCCTTCCTAGTATACATACAATTTATCTACCTACAGTCACAGGTCATTTTTTACCATAAGCTCAGTGTTGGCCTAGTGACACAGAAGAGAGGCCACCTTCATCAGGTGTCCAGAGTATTAAGCAAGAAATTTAACCCAAAGTCAAATGTGCTCTCAAAGACCAAGAAATGGTTTTATTAACTTTCTTCACAAGGGGTGAAACACACATTAGTCATAGAATCACAAAACCTATTGCTCTCCCAGGGACTACTTTTGATGCTATATAACACTATAGGTATGATTCTCAAGAAGGTATGATTTTTCTAAGAAGACATAATTTATACTTTATAATGGTACCCAGTTAAGAGAATGTTCTACTGTATCTAGATAGAGATAGATAGATAGATAGATAGATAGATAGATAGATAGATAGATAATAGATAGATAGATAGATAGATAGATAGATAGATAGATAGATAGATAGATGATAGATAATTTACTTGCCTAAGCGAACTTTTTATTCCAATGGAAGCTCAATGTAGTTCTCCAGATAAGAGATAGAGACATTACAAGAAAAATGGTCATATGTCCTAAGAGAGTGGATGCTATGGGATCAGACATGAATGTGAAAAGGACTAGTATGTCTTCAAAACAAGGACAAATTTGATTTGGCTCAATAAGAGAGTGAGAAGCAGACTGTGGGAGCTAATTCAAGAGAGATAAGTTTGAAGATGATTTTACAAAGTTTAGTATATAAAGCTAAGCAATTTGAAGTTTATAAGTAGACAATAAGGAGATACTAAGAGGTTTGTAAACAAGGAAATACTTTAAAGTAGGTATAAAGCATGTGGCTTATTGAATTATATCAATAGCAGTCTTATGTAATGAAGAACAAAGTTGTTTTTACAGCAAGTCATTTAGTCAGAAAAAGGGATAAAGGAAGTCAAATACCTAGTCACAAATTTCAAGTCAATATTATATTTGTAACCAGGATGTCCCAAGACATGGGTAAGACGGGAATGGCAGTTACCTTTACTACCTACATCTTAGGGTCTCTGATCCTCTCCATGGAGTTCGGGAACTTCCCTCCCCAGGGCCTCGCACCCAAATCACATGCCTCAGTTTCTAGGGCTCCCCATTCTGGGGTGACCCACATGTACACCCGCAGCTGCCCACCTACCTCTGAGGGAGGCTGCAGCTTCCACCTCCCATATTCTGTTGCCCATGTAGCTACAGGTCAACAACGCAAAGTTCAAGAAGCTAAAGGTTGTAGTTTGAGGTGTGACACTCTCCAGCTGCCTGAACCCCACCTTCATTCATTCAAAGATCCGCTCGAACACTCATCAGAACACCTGACCATAGGTTACTTTCACCATTTCTGGCTTTAAGCCCTATCTTCTCCTCTTATCTTCCACCTGATTTTTCCTGGATTTACAGCCATGTCCTGGAAGGACAAAGCATCCGTGGTTCCCACAGTCTTGTTCATCTACCAACCAATGGGCATGATCCCAATAGGAGCTCCCATTATCAGCCTAGGGTAGCCTTCATTTCCTTCCACAGTGCCTCATCCTCCCTGGTCTCCCCATAGACACTCACACCCAGACTTCTTGCTTTATGTACTTCCTCCTTACATTTATTGTGTCATCTACATGCAGGGGCCCTAGGTTAATGCTGTCCCTCCTCACTGCAGCCTCCTGTGCCCTTGGTCCAAGAATCTAGAGGCATCCTCCAGTGCTGAAATATCCATTCCCTGCTTGCAGGTTCAGTGACCTTTCCTTATTTCTGAAATCAATTCCCCAGGAGGTCTGTCTAATTCCACCAGTGTCCTCTGGTCTATCTCTTTGGGAAAAACTCATCCTCCCTGACCCAATTAAATTCAACCCTACTCTTCTCCAGGCTCATCTTTAAAGCTGTTGGGCTTTATCTTCATCACAAGGATCTCTCTAGGATCCTAGTCCTTCTACTGAGAAACCCTTCTGTTTCTTCATTATACTTGGAACAGTTCAGAAAACACACTTAACTTTCAGTATTTATTTTGATATTTTCTTTCCCAACCATATGATTTTTTTTTACTATGTTTTCACAATTCCTTTACACTGACATTTGAGTGGCTACTTTCTGTGTGCAAAATATAAATAGTTTCTTGTTGGGGGTTCTTTTTTCTGCCCCAGCAATGATGGAGAACTTTACCATGAGGATGGGGACCCAATGAGCTCTGAGTGACCCAAGGGTTAGAAATTCTTAAACATGTAAATTTGAGATGATGTCCCTGGTCTCTGATGGAAATCTCTAAGTATCTTTTCTCTCCTTCTTCTCAGCAATCCGTGAGAAAATTTGTTTCCAAGAAAATGATGGAGAAGAGAGTGTGGAGAACCCTAACACCCAACTAAGTCTTGAACAAGGTGATTGCAAACATAAAAGCTGATTCTCATCTAAAGTGGAAAGGAGAACGGGAGATGGGCCCTGAGTCCTGATGGAATTTGGGAATCAGAGAAGAAGTGTTGAGGAGCATGGAGAAGACAGGGAGCGCTGTTTTATGAGCATCTTACCAGAGACTGATCCAGGAGAAGGAGCTATGACAAGATACCCTTGGCTCAATAAACAAGACAAAGGAACAGGAACCCAATATGTCAGGAAACCAGATTTATAGATAATGCTAACCTGGAAGTAATTGTGATTTAGAGAGATCCTGTAGGAGAAGATCAGTGTGAAACTATATAGGGTTAGGAACTATGGACCCCAGGTCAACATCACAGAGGAGATCCTTGATAACGACAGAAGAAGGGACTGATTCAAATGTGGGGGATGCTGTTCAAGAGCAGGAATATTCAAGGAGATGGGCAGTAATAGAGAGAAGAGAGGAAATGTGCATATTTTGAGAGAAGAAGAAGGAGGGGAAATGAAAGACAGAAGAAAGGGGTAAAGGACACAATAAAACAACCATATTACTAAGAGCTCACTTATTGAATATTTACTCTGACAGTTGTGGACTTAGTGCTCCCAGCTGCCATTAGAAGTTAATATTATGTATGTACTCTTTCTGCAATTAGGAGACTAAAATCTGTGTGTAGTTGGCAGGTTGTATGTGTAGTTGGACTGGGGTCAAATGAGCAAGATGAACCCAAGCAATCTTAACCCTGCACACACCCAGATAATCTCATGGAAAAGCCAGAAGCATGAAACAAAAATAGGGAAATATATGCAGAGAGAAACACAGAAAGAAGAATACCAGGAGCTGGAAGGAGTACAGGAGAATCAGACACTGAACCTCATGAAAAGGGCAACAAGACAGAGAAACAGACATGGGGAGGGAGGGTATGGTGCAAAGAGGGGTGCAATGAAGCACCAGGACTTTGTAGGAACTACAGCAAGGCCACCAGTCAGGGGCAGCTGTGGGAACAAAAACAGCTTCACTATGGCCATGGGTGACATGAAAAGCCATTGCCAGTCACCTAAGGTGCTCATGGAAAATACTTAGTGAGATGGACTGGCCAAGGCACTTTCAGTCCAAAGGGGGAACTTGGGTCTGACTATAAGAGTGGGGTGGAATCCTCCAGGTCCAGATGGGCTCGTATTGATACCTGGGGGGAGGGCATCCTCAAGTCCTACTTTATAACGATTAAAGGGGAATTAGGGGAGAATGACATTTCTGAAATAAACTTCTCATTTTTCACCCCAGGCACTGGTGAAAACTCATATCAAAGCCTGACCTGGATCTGCTCACATCCCTCGAATTACAATGGTCGGTTCCTGTTGACTTCTGTGACCCTTTGCAGTTCTGGTCCCATCTGGCAGGTGCTATGGTGGGAGGGCTGCTTCTTTTTAGTAATGATCACCCAAAATTGTCCATCTTGGCTTCTGCAATTTATCCAAGGATTTAGATAACAGCGTCTTCATTTTCCTGGTTGCCTGGGAGGGTCACTCCTTCCTTATTCCTTAAATGCACTTGCTGCCAGCTCCTGACAACCTGGGCCTGGACCTATTGCCCATGCACCTGGCTTCACAGTTTTCTGCCTCTGTCTTGCTTGAATCTGGCTGCAGCCTTGCTTTGACATCACATCCAGCTGTGGCCAGCACTGTAGCAAGGGTGGTGGGGTAGGGGTAATAAGTGTGTTCCTCCTGGGCCAGGGTCTCTTACCAGTTGGGTCCCTCACCATGGACGCCATGTGCCTCCCGAGCAAACCCTCTCCCATCATCTCTGGAGCAGCAGGCCTGGATCTGCCCTCCAAACACCTGACCAGCCTCCAAAAAAATACTTTGGTAATTTAGCAATCAATAGCCACTGTTTACAACTCTTGACCATCCCTTAATCTATAACACTCTTAATCATGGTATTAAATTTTTTAAAATATTATAAATTTAAGGTATTAATCAAAAAGAGTTAATTTTCTAATCAGTCACAATATCTCTTATAGTGATATAGGCAATATTTTATTTAATCTTCTCAAACACTTAAAATGATGGTATAACACCCTGGCCAGTGCGACTCAGTTGGTTGGAACATCATCCTGTACATGGAAAGGTCGAGGGTTCAATTCCCTGGCAGGGCACATACCTAGGTTGCCGGTTCAGTTCCCAATTGGGGCACATACAGGAGGCAAGCAATTTCTTTCTCTCTCTCTCTCTCTCTCTCTCTCTCTCTCTCTCTCTCTCTCTTCATGAAAATGTACA